TGCCTTCCTTTAATGGATTATGTTTTCTGGAAGTCAGTTAAATTATTGGAGGGTCCAGTTTAAACCTTTAAAAGCTTTAAAAATTATTTTTCCAATTTACCTTAGTAGAAGGACAAGACTCTTCCCCTTGGGCATAGTATATGTAACAAAAGTATGTTTTTTATTGACTACTACCACTGAGTCAGAATCCCAAAGTCTTCCAGACCTGTGCAAACTCCCTATCTCCGTGCCCCTCCCAGCCCCCACTTGCTACACTCTTGGCTTTGCAGGGTTCCCCTGCACACACGGTCTTAACCTGCAGTCAAGGATCAACAGGAAGCTTGCATGCAACCTGTCAGGTCATCTCTGCACATTTCCTTCTTTCCCTCTCTCATTTTTTTTCAGTATGCTGACCTACAACTTTCAAATACATCATGAGCCCCCAAACTCCTATGACTCCTCAATTTAGAAAGATTTTTGTTATTTTGCCTGTGCTCTATTTCCACTCATTCTAGTCCTAAAGGTGCCACCAGACAAATAACCAGTGCAAATACAGGGAAATTAGGGATATTCTATAGAATTGGAATGTGCTCTGATAACCACAGTGATACCGAAAAGAGCACTATACTTCCGGGAATGTTTGTCAGCTTGTCTGAACAGCTGGCTTTTACCTCAAACTCCAAACTTGCCAGTTTTGAATAATGATGTGATCTCAACAGCATTCAGGAAGGGCACAACACTCAACGCTCAGAAGACACTTTCGCAAATCTCATTTGGCTAAGTTTAAGTTTCAATGTAACAATATAGATTCAGAAATAAAACTTGTCTGGTTACCATTTTTCTTCCTTTATGTAGAACCAAGGGAGGCATATGATAATACAAATTTTGCTAGACATTAGAACATTAATTAAATGTTTAATGGCACCAGGCTAAGATGAGTATTGCCTTCTGAAATGGACTAGTATAGGATTTATTTCATATAACTGGTGGTCACATTTGAATAGGACAAGACTCTTGCTTTTTATTTGTTTTGTGCTTCTTCAAGCTCAGTGACTGACTGACAACTTCTCTTATAAATATTATAGAGCTGATATTTCATTAAAACAAAGCATTTCCTAGAACTTTCCTATTTTCAATGAAAATTTCATATTTTCCTCAAGTCTTCAATTATTTATTGGTCATTTCTTTTTTCAGTAATTATTGAATGATTTCTTCATGCAGAGGATTTGATGGCAAATTACACTAGGATTTTCATCTCATGACTGTCAGGGTAGTAGGAGAAACAAAAATGGGAAAACAGTTGCAGCACAATATTCTCTAAGTGCTACCTGATGACTCGGAAGTCCTGTAGGAAGGCCACAGAACTTACTCGTAAGGGATGGGTGAAATCTTTCCTGATGAGATAATCTCTAATTTACACCAGGGTGTATAGTGAAGATTAGATTGATAAAATTGGAATAGGAAAAGTGTTTCCAACAGAAGCTAGAGTTAAGAAGTGTGGGAATGTGGCACATGCTTGGAACTATAAGTATTTCTCTATGTTTGGAACTTAGAGTGTGAAAAAAAGAGTGGGAAGAGATGAAGAGCATTACTGGAAATTTCAAACAGTGAAGAAACATAGTGAAATCTATGGTATAGAAAGATAATACTCACGAGAAAGTGGATAACAGGAGAGAAGGTAGGTGTAGAGACAAGAGAGACCTGGAGGCAGAGTCACCAATTAAGTGGTTGCTAAAATATTCTATGTGAAAGACAATTCTAGTCTGAACAAAGGTAAATTTAGGCATCATAAAAATCAAAAAAGCAGATGCCAGATATATGAAAATGTAAAACTGGCAAGATTTGATTATAAACTGGGAGTGAGGGGGTGAGAGGAAAATTGAGGCTTTGTGAGGATAAGTGCCAGCTTGTGATTTAAATTGTTGAGTGAATGGTGTCATTGGATGGGAAACATGCTAGAAAGCTTTTGGGTGAAAACAATGAATGCACATGATTATTTGGAGGGAAAGTTCAATGGAGATGTTTACCAGATGTTGGTGGAGAAGAAATTAGAGCTCAGAAAAGAGGTCTGGGCTGGAGATGAGTTATAAGAATCATTCAGCATCATCATTGTATCTAAATGTTGAAGTCAATGTCCAAGAAATAGAATTAGAGGGAAGAAAGATAAACTGAGAAGTATTCAGAGAAGCAATAGTCAAAGGTGTTAAGAGGAAAGTCAGGATTGTAATTTGTACAGAAAATTACAGACATAGCTCAACTCTGCCTGCTTTCAAGAGACAAATAATGCATGGGCTGAAAAAAAAAAAAAAGTTCACTGAATTTAACAGTAAGTGATTTGTGTAAGGCTTACTAAAGTATTGAGTAGAAAGCACATCTTAGTGTGCTTGGAATTAAACAAGGTGGAGGGATTAAAAGACTAAGTGTAGAAAACACTCTAAAGACTACGTTTGTAAGGAGAAAGCGATAGCTAGAGGAATATTTGAAATTGAAAAAATTTCTCTTTTAATGACTTCATGCAATAAGGTTAAAATCTTTAAATGATATCAAAATTTAACTCAGACTTTATTGCTTTCCAAAATTGCTTTGAATACCTTGATTTGCAGTCATTGGCCATGCATTCAGTAGGAAATAAGGGAAAAGGGGGATTTAGAAAAAAATGTTGGAAGAATAAATAGGGGATAAAAGATAGAAAAGAGAGATGAAGAGAGGAGAAAAGGAGAATTATATAAAGAAGAGATTTTCAGTAAATATTACAATTAACTAGGGAACAGACTTTAGGCCAGCACTGGTGATTGCAAAAAATGAATCAAGAGATACAGTGTCCCAAAATCCTAGGAAGAATAGGATTTTGAAAGGGAGAGAGTCAGTATTTCAAATGCTGTCAAGTGAGAATTATGGACAGGACTTAAGAAATTTCTCTGTGTGATAACTTATCTGTGAGAGCAGAAAAAGAAATAGGTTATAACTAGTGAGTGAGACCAAATTTAAAGAAAGATTGCTAAAAATCATTTCTAGCCAACTCAAATGTGAATTTCTCTAAGAAAATTGATCTGAAAAATCCAGAAAGAACCTATTTTCCTTTTCTTAATACTTCTACAATGCACTTTTGAATAACTCCCATCTGACCAAACACTTTCACTTTTTGTAATTTAGCCCAGAGAAACAAAGACTAATGTTTACATTCAGAACATCTACATGTGCTTGTTTATAGTATCTTTATTAATAATTGCCTCAACATAAAATAAAACCCAAAAGCACAATCCAATTTTCCTTCAAGGGATAAATGTCTAAACACAGGTTGATATAACCAAACCCTGGCCTGTGATACACAGTGAAAAGAGACAAAATATTGATGTTTACATCAAGGAATCATACTGAATGAAAAAATAGTCACCCTAAACAGCACATACTACATGATTCCAAACATGTAACTTTCTTAAATTTACAAAATTATAGAATGGGGAACAGATGAATGGTTTCCAGAGTTTAGGGGGTTGGATCTGAAGTGATGCGAGTGTAGCTATAAACAGAATATATGGTATCTTGAAATTGTGGAAATGTTCTATATCTTAACTATGTCAATATTATTATCTCAGCTGTGATATTTTACTATAGTTTTGCAAGATGTTGCATTGGTAGAAACTGGATAAAGGGTACATGGGATCTTCCTCTATTTCCTATAACAACGTCTAATAATTCAAATGTCTCAAAATAAAGAACTTAAAAAAAATGCTTATAAGCCAAAAAATAGTAGATTAAAATTTGTGTAAAGAGACCACTTTTCTTTAAAGTCAGATTGACTTACGCTTGAAACCTGCGTCCCCTGATTCTGCATATTTTTAGTTACATGCACTCTACATGACTGAGCCTTAAATGAATGACAATCACCAAGATCATCTTCACCATCAGCAAACCCATGGACAATAGTCACTACATGCAAGAACAGAGCACTTTGCATATTTTAACACATTTTATTTTCTTAACAGCCCTCCCTCTCAGGTAGGAATCATGATAATCATAATTTTAAATTTTGAGAAACTGAGGAACAGGATGAAAAGTAATCCACTCAAGCCTACAAAATGACTAACTGAATGTAAATTTGAATGAGTCAGTCTTCCACAAAACATGATACCTGCCCCTCACACATTTACGGCTCTCAAGCAAAAGTAAAAATGGAGACTCTATCCTTTAAAATGAACAATGATGTAAAAAATAAAAAATAATAAATATAAAAAATAAAAATTAAAAAAAAATAACAACAACAAATACTTAAGAGTTACAGCTCAGGCTAATGAAGTGTTTAAAAATATGTATTTTCCCCTTCCATTGTTGACAAACATAGTGTATAACCACTTATAAGGCTAGGTTTAAATTGTAAATGCTCCAATTCTTCACAGTTCTGCCATCTAAGCTTGACCTACCTTTCTTTTCTTTCTGTTCATGTTTTTATCTAAGTGTAAGAGGCCTCTTTACATATTTGGGTGGATACCCCTAGGCAATTAAAGTTCTGTGCACACTCAGGCCTAAAGATATGCAAAGCGCTGAATCAGTGTGTCTTTAGTACATGAACTTAGGAGAGAGGACTATGCAAACCTTGGAGACAGAGCCTTTAGACAGGGAATTCCAGGGTTCTGAGTTAAGAAGCAAATCTAGAAAGAGGGTAATTAGTTTCAGGTGGAACAGCTTCTAGCTCCATAGAATCCTTCCCCCCTCCTCAAGGTTCCCCAGGAGGAGGCACAGGCTAAAGAGGCTCAAAGCAAGAGGTTCCTCTTACCCAGGTCTAAGATAACAGCCTTACTGAAACAAGAATGATTCTTGCCTTCCATGGTCAATGAGATTACAGTGAATTTATATGAGGTCCCTCATGGATAATGTGCAAAATGTGCACCACCACACTGCATCAGAGGGACAACATGGCTATTATGTTATTATATATTTGCTGTGATATTTTAATATCAAGTGGAATATTTTCTCAGATTAAAAATTTTGTAATTAAAATATATTGCTTCTTTTCTTGGTAGATGGACTGGAGGCTTTTACCAGATTTCTTAAAACTGAATTTAGTGAGGAAAACATTGAGTTTTGGATTGCCTGTGAAGATTTCAAGAAAAGCAAAGACCCCAAACAAATTCTCCTTAAGGCAAAAGCAATATATGAGAAGTTTATACAGAATGATGCTCCACAAGAGGTATAGTAAAGATAGTAAAAACTTACAATTATATTTTAATATTATTTGAGTCTGTTATTTTCAAATTGGTACCCTGATCTTGCAGAAAAGTCAGAATTTTGGTGAAGCAAAAATGATGGTTATTTATATAAATTTCTACAAGCAAAGAGAACACGTTGCAACACATTGCGAAGGAAGGAAGGTATAATTAAAGTCACGCCTCAGGTTGTTTTTGTTCCAGATTAAAAGTAAATATAATTCATCATAATGTTTTGATTCATTCATTTATCATATTAAGCACTTTAGCATAAGCAATCTCATAGTAATGAAGATTTCTATAAGTGATGAAAGCAAGAACAATCTAAGTTTGTATTATATGCAATTTTAATGCTAGCTTATACACCCATACAAAGTTTTGTTTGCCCTGAACTGATTATCACTCCACCTTAAAATGATTAAAAGAAAATTTCAGAATAGGCAAGGTCAACCCAATGTGCCAAGGGTTGAAGTGAAAAAACAATTTCTTTGACTTCAAGCTCAATATGAGATCATTATGAGAAACAATTGCTAAAGGTAGCAAATATTACTTGACTATTCCCAAATAAGAATTAGTTTCAGTATTTCTATTATGTGGCTAACAAATTGCATCTCTTTGTTGAAGTTATAAGCTGATAGTCTATCACTTTAAGAGTTCTGTTTGACTATAAATTAGAATGTCCGTGGAGTAGCATTGTCTATGTATATATTTTTCCACATGAAATTATCATTGTTTTCCTTTTTGCATATATTTCAATAAGTTCTGCATTTCAATGTGTAAGTCTGTTTACCCCAAGAGTAATCTCAAACACAGATAGAAAAAGTAGGGGTGTGGTAGGGGCAGCTAATTCCTTTTCCCACGTGGGAAAAGGAAAAACCCATCTGAAAAATTACCACCATCAGAACAGGATATATCTTTAGTCCTTTGATTAAAAGTATCAAAGGATTTTATATCTTTAAAAGATATTCAATTTCAGCAAGCATTTGCTTGTAGGAAAGCAGAATAACACAATGAAAAGAACACTGGTACAAAACAAAAGCCACACATTGAAATTCCAAATATGTCCCCACACTCACTCTTGTCTTCACTCCAACTTCTATGGAGTTTAGTTTCCACTTTGAAAATGAATTGGACCTAATGATCTCAATAATGCTTGGCATGAAAACATCCCATTATTCTAAATTACTAAGAGAGAGCTAGAAGGACCAGGAACATATGGAGGAAAGAGTCAAGTGAAATAACCAAAGTAAATCATTGGCTCCCCAGACTCCTACCAAGAAGCCACCAATCTCAATCTCTTTCTCTCTTTCATACCCCCCTCAACACACACACGCATGCACACACTGCTCACTCACCCCTGCAGCGGTGTGGCTCTCCATTATTTGTTTTTCAAAAGGTGCTTAAGTAGATTAGGTTTGACTTTAAAATTCTCAGGCTGTTGGGGCATCCCCAGCACAAATGGTTGAGCGCAGTGCTGTGAAGCTGTCCGCAGCCTCTGTAGCGCAAGTTCGATCCCTGGCCAGGGAGCTACCCACATGGCACAGCAGACGTCTCCTGACTCACCCACTGCTCCCCTCAGCAGTGTACTTTGGTCTATCTGCCTGTTCTGTTCCCTGCTCTGTCTCTGGTGGATCCTCTCACCTCCCACACCTCTGGCCTGTACCTCAGATCTTGTATGCATAAATAAATAAATCTTTAAAAAAATATAAAAAAATAAAATTCTCAGGCTCTTCACAGTTTACCTTTTTAATTTTTTTTTCTTATTATGATACAGGTTAATCTTGATTTTCACACCAAAGAAGTCATTACTAAGAGCATCACCCAACCCACCCTCCACAGTTTTGATGCTGCCCAAAGCAGAGTATATCAGCTTATGGAACAAGACAGTTACACACGTTTTCTGAAATCTGACATCTATTTAGACTTGATAGAAGGAAGACCTCCGAGACCAACAAATCTTAGAAGACGCTCTCGCTCATTTACTTACAATGAATTTCAGGATGTAAAGTCAGATGTTGCCATTTGGTTATAAAAAAATCAGTTATGCTCATTTTATGGATGGCAAACTTGTACATCTGCTTCCAACAAATAGCATGTTAATGTTAACAAATGGGCACATCTTTTAAACAAAAATACACCAAGCAAGAGGGGTTTTACTATGTAAATCAAAGCTATTATCCTAATAATATATATTGTGTCTGCTAACGTTTTCCACTGGACTTCCTTTCATTCATAATTAGAAAAACTTACCACTCCATTAAATAAGCAATATTTTGGGGCCTCCCTGGTGGTGCAAGGGGTTAAGACACAACTATGAAGCTATCCATAGCCACTGCAGCACGAGTTCCATCCCGGGCCACTGAGCTACCCATGTGGCACAGCAGACCTCTTCTCACTCACCTTCTGCTCCCCTCAGCAATGTATTTCAGTAAATCCACCTGTTCTGCTCCCCACTCTGTCTCTGTTGAATCCTCTCACCCCCCCCCACACCTCTGGCCTTTACCCCAGTTCTTGTATATATAAATAAATAAATCTTTTAAAAAAGGCAGTATTTTCATAAAACTGTAGTTAAGGTTAAGCTTTTGCAAAATTGTCCACTGCTTGAAACACAGATAGAAAATTGTCAACTGCTTGAAATTTTTTAGATGTAAACAACAAAATACGAAGACACCCATCTATTCAGACAATATTTTCCATGATGATCAACACTTTCTCTTCCCTTCCCCTTCTTCCTCTTCCTTCCCTTCCTCTTCCTCTCCCTCCCCCTCCCCCATCATAGAAATGATCCAGTATATAATTTGATCATTTGTTCTTGGGTTACTAACTCTATATCATGAACAGTGATATATCACTTCCAGTTATAAACTAGCAGTTGGAACTTTGATTGGGATCAGAATTCGAAAGGAGTAATAGTAAATAAGCAAAGAGCTGAAGATCTTGAAGACTCATGCATTTGCCACATTGGCTGATCTACAGAAACTCTTCCTACATGGATCATATTCTCATTCCAAGTCTCATTGACTCATTTAATACTATATTATTCAAATGTGATATGTCTCTACTATAGGGGAGTATTTAATTTTAGATATGCATTGCATGGTCTGTAAATATTAGTATTTCAAGATGTCATACATTTGGTTCAGCTAATATTATTTTAGTCAACATATAAAATGTAAAAGCTGGGGCCTCCCCTGTGGCGCAGCGGGTTGAGCAATACTGTGAAGCTGTCCCACAGCCTCTGCAGTGCTGTGGGAGATAACCACATGGTGCAGGAGACCTCTCCTGTCTTGCCCACTGCTCCCCTCAGCAGTGTATTTCAGTCATTCTGCCTGTTCTGTTCCCCACTCTATCTCTGGTGAATCCTCTCTCACAACCCCCCACAACTCTGACTTGTACCCCAGTTCTTGTATGCATAAATAAATCTTAAAAAAAAAAGAACTTCATTGCTTTATACAGAGTTAAGATAAAAACTTTACAATTTCAACAGAAAAATCATGGGTAGATTTTAATAGTAATATTCTCAGAGCTCAGATAAGCATTATGTAGCTTTCTCCTTTGGAACACTTTTTGAAAGGATCAAATCACTTGCTTAAATTATAGAATAATAAATGAGACCCTTCAAAAACATGCCCAGGCTTTTTGATCTGATGCCTGACCTCAAGTTGCTGCATCTGTGGAGATAACAATGTGACCGAATGCAGGAAAGAAGTGATTAGAAAAGTGAAAGTCAGGAGACAATGCGCAGATCGCTCAGAGCTCTGGACAAAGGAATTGCAGAAATAGTGAAGGGAAGTTGTGAGTGGGGTCTACCTGGCTCCCTCACCAGACTCAGATCCTCATAAATGTGCTAACTTCCAAGCATCCTCCCCATTTTTAAATAATAAAGACTTGGGATTTTGCACTTCCATACTCTAATGATCCCCACACTTATTGATTCTATCACCTGATATTCTCCAAAGCCCCTATTGATTGATGTCCAAGTAAGAAAAAAGAGCAAGTGTGGTTAATGAAGAAACTTCCAGATTAAAAATTAGTATGGGATATTGGTCTAGGAGGAAACAATTTTGTGGACAGAAATACGTGAAAGGAATCACAGGAAATAAGGCTTATATTTTTTGACAAGCTATAAGACCAGAATGTGTTTAAAGACAGAGCTGAGTTGAATTGGATAATCTGGCATATCTTGAAGCCCACAGACAAAAGTCAACACCTAGCTTGTTATATTTTCTATAATACTAGAAGCTTAACACATGATCCTGGAATCAAATGGAAGCATAAGGAAGGAGGGTGGTATCTCAGCAGAGGAAAGGCTTTGAAATGTGGCATACTTTTTTTATTTGAATGCTGACTCTGCCACTTACCAAATGCGGTATGCTGGCACAGTTATCTCAATAGTCTGAATTTTAATGTTTCATTGGTAATATTGGGATAAAACATTATGGTGTCCTACGATGATTAAATTTAAAAATAATTATAAGGTGTCAACTATAGATTAATTGACTTTAGTGCATGCACAGGATTTTGGAAATTATTCTCTGTATTTAAGTATCACATTTTAATTATAATACAAATTTTTCTAACAATATCTAGGTTACAAATAAAGCAAATGTTCTTTTAGAATAATGTGATTTCCTTGAATAAAATATGGGATACAGCTATTGCTCTTACCAGATCTTTTATAATTTAATACTGCATGGAAAAGTAAATAATGATATTTTAGTCATGTGAAAAATTGGGACATTATAAATTTAAAATTATTCTAAAGACAGCTGAAAAAGACTTTTTATTTACATGCAGTACAGCCCTTCTTTCGGAAAAAAAAAAATAAAAGACAATGCCTACGGGAGCTATTTACCCTCCCCCGCAAAATGCTCACAGACTTAACCACAGCATTAGCTAAATTTAAATACATAAAATTTATTTTTACCATGTCACATTTGATGGTTTTATTTTTAATCTCCTTGCTCTTCAATTTTCATCTGTCTAAAATAGAAAAATTCTTGTCACTTTGTGTAGTTTATCTACAGCACTCTAAGTCTTTTAAACATAAAGATAAAAGGTAACAATGTATCCAAACCATGTGACGATGTTGAGTGAGTGAACAAATATTTATCAAACACTTGTATTTGACTGGTATCATTTTATTGAGTGGCTCAGTGTATTCTCTAAGGGTAGAGTTAAGTTATTACAACATACTTAATATTTCAAAGCTAAATGTCCAACATATTTTTGAGATATATCCAAGTGATCTGGACACTAACAGTAAAGATTAATCCCTTTTATAGGAGAAAAATCTCAATTTCAACTGTCTATATACATCAGTAACATAAACAATATATAGATTCTGGGCAAAATGAATCATAATATGACATAAAAATTCCTATAAAATGAAAATGTGATAATCTGAACTACAACCTCTTTTTTTTTTTTTTTATGTTTTTTTTTTTTAATATTAAATTTTATTTTTATATTCCATACATTGCAAACGCCCCATTCTGACCCAATCCTTGACCCCCCAAAAGTGTCTCTGGTTCATAGTTTTTTTTTGATTTTGATTTCACTTCTTATATCATTTTCCTGGTCCCTATTTAAGTTTTCTAGATCCTGCTAAGTGAGACCATCCGTATTTTTCTTTTCTTTTGGCTTATTTCGCTGAGCATGATCCCTTCCGTGCCATCCATGTTGCTGCAAATTGCATGTGTTTATCTTTTTTGAATGCTGAGTAATATTCCATGGTATATATGTACCACATCTTCTTGATCCAGTCATCTATTTTTGGGCATTTGGGTTGTTTCCAAAGCTTAGCTATTGTAAACAGTGCTGCTATAAACATAGGAGTGCAGGTGCTCTTTTGGAATTGATGTTTCTGTGTCTTTGGGTAAATACTAGGAGGAATTGCTGGATCATTGGAAGCTCTATGTTTAGTAGGTCCAGAATCTCCACACAGCTTCCATAGTGGTTGGAACAGTTTGCATCCCACCAACAGTGCACAAGAGTTCTTTTTCTCCACACCTCGCCAACTTTGTTGTTGCTAGTTTTTTTAATATGTGCCATTCTCACTGGTGTGAGATGGATCTCATGGTATTTTGATTTGCATTTCCCTGATGACAGTGATGTTGAACATTTTTTCATATGTCTGTTGCCATTTGCATTTCTCTTCAGAGAAGTATCTTTTTAGCTCTTCTGCCCATTTTTTGACTGATTATTTTCTTTGTTGTTGCTGAGTCTCAAGCAGATTTTTGTGATCAGTCCTTTATCATTAGTGTTGGTGCAAAAATGTCCCAGTTGGTGGGGTTCTCTTTGTTTTTGTTATTGTCTTTTTGCTGTGCAGAAGCTCTTTAATTTGATGTAGTCCAGCTTTTATACTACAAGCATAATCATCAATGCATGTATTGGAACAAGAACAGACATACAGACCAATGGAATCGAATAGAAATCCAGAATAAACCACAGATTTATCACTAATCTTTGACAAAGAGCAAAGACTATCATTGGAGCAAAGAAATTTGTTCAACAAATGGTGCTGGGAAAACTGGTCGCTACAAAAAGAATGAAGCTTGACCACTACCTCACACCATACACAAAAATCAACTCAAATGATTAAGAACTAGACATAAGACCTGAAACCATAAAATACATAGAAGGAAATATAGGCGAAACACTACGGGATTTGCACATCAAAGACATCTTTACAGACACATCATACAACCTCTTTTTTAATATCACAACATTGTTTTAAAAACTAAACGGTTGACAAGCAAAGAGAAACCATGCTTAATTCTGTACATGACTTAAAGACAAATATATGAAAAGAATAAATGAGAAATATGCATTTACAACATGTATGTATATTTCCTTCTAATCTTTAAAAAAATCTTAAATTTTTTATCATTCAACCAATAGGTTATGATCATGAATACTAATTATCAGATATTTCTACTTATTGATTACAAAAATAATTTTTAGATGTCAGTGTTTGAAAAAATTATCTTAATTTAAAAATTATAACATATGATATGAATGTAAACTGAAAGAGTAGAATCATGAATAGAAGACAGTAAAATGTCAAAACTGACAGAACACGCTACATTTGAGATACATCCTAGATAGATTATGTATGAGGTACAACAAAAGACTTGAGAGATAAAATAAAGGTTTCTAAAAGGCAGTAACTTATTACAAAGAAAGCATTGCAGGATGCTCTTACGTAAGAAAATATTAACAAGATTTGAAACTTTCTACCCAAAGAACAACATTCTTCTGTAAAGAGGAATCTGCTCCGTTACTGGAAGCCTGCATTAGACAATCTGCAGATTTCCTAAACTTCATTCCATCACTAAATACTAGTGCTGGAAGGAGATTTAAAGATAATGTTCCATCAAGCATTCACATTTTATAAATCAGAATTATGAAGTCATCTCTAGACTAATTTAGATGAATAATAAAGAATGTAAGTAAAAACTGACTCAGATATCAACCAATATCATCTATTTATTCATCAA